CGGTACCGTTCCTCACCGTAATCACGTTGTATTATTCCTTCATCTACTCGCGCTTTGGGTACTGCGATCGATCGAGCGAGCGACCGATCGGCGATCTCACGCGGCGGGATTCGCAACAAAAATACGCGGCCTTTAACTAGCGTCCGATTCAACTTCGCCGCCTTCGTTCATTATAACAAGAGCCGAAACGCGCGTTTGCGTCGCCTCGCGTGTCGTGGAAGGAGAGAGGAAGAAAGAAGAAAGACAGCGAGTGGAGCCCTCCCGAGAAGTCACGGAGGACTCGTGTGGCGAATTCTCAGCGACCGGGAAAATTTGCATTGCTCCACAATCCCGATACCGCTAGTCTGCGCGCAACCCGGAATCGATCCGAGATCCTGGCCGCTATCGAAATTGCAGCAAATGGAACGGGCTGTGCAGTCGGAACTGTACGAGCGAGCGAGCGAGGTCCCTCCGTTGCACGTCGGATGGAGACTCATCATCTTCATCACCGTGCCCGGCACACGTGATCCGCTTCTCCTACGCAAATCCCGCCGGCTGATTCAGAAATCAAATAAATCCACCTCCGGTGTATTGTTGTTGCCGGATCGATTCGCTCGCGCTCGGTATCGACGTGATTCGACTTCGCGAGCAGCGTTCTTCGAGCTCACGTCCTTCGGAATGTGTACATACACTCGTGTGTCTCTCCAGAAGTGCATTGACACGATCGAATAAGTTGTCAGACTCCGTTAACTTTGTTTCCCGTACCGACACCATTGATCGCCTGCTGTGAGATATCAAATTCCGTATTTTAAAAATGTAACGTATGCAAAACACTCTAAGATTCTACTTTTGTCTGACGGCGTACGAAGAGAAATTACTTAGAAAGACAGCAAATTTCAAATGCCGTCGCAACAAATAAATAAATCATTGTCACCCGAGTAGAGACTGTCCAATATTTTAGGAGTTGATAAAAATCAACCCTTTTTCATAAAATGATCTTAAAAGTTCGCACGATAACATAGTTAATAAGTTACTTAAAAAATGAACTCTTAAAATATTGGATATACTACGTAAGAAAGACCCCTGTATCTTTATTTATTTGTTACGACAGCATGAAATTTACCGTTTTTCTCAATTCTTTTTCTCTAAGAAAACGTAAGAAGACTTTTGGACGTAGATGGCATGAGTATTATCCTATGGATACGCCGCGAATGGTTGTTTTAGGTGCGGGCTTTAATAAATAGTATTTCGTTCGCGCGCAACAAAACGACAAACCCGACCGGTTTCTCTCGCATGAGAGCGTCGGATCGATGGCGCAACGCGATATTTATGAATCGGCAACTATCCATTTGGTCCGCGAAAAGGATTGACAAGTGAGCATTACGGGCATTAGACGGGAGGCGTGGACGTCTATCGCAGGATACGTCGCTCGTCGAAGGATAATACCAGAGCTCCCGAACCGAGCCAGACGCGCGTGGCAAACGCGATGCATATGGAAGGAGTTAAGAAAAAAAGAGAGACTGCCCCGCGAGAGAGGGATATCTGCTCTCCTCCCGGTCCGGAATCGCTTGACAGCTTCGGCCGATTTCCGAGAGCAAATTAATGTCTTCGCAATGTTCTAGGAGAAGTTGATAATAATAGCGTTGCGTTCGGAGAATCGAGCGACTCATTTGAGAATTAAGTGCAGCGGCTTCGTATGACGCACGTTTGTGTTTGTATTGACAACTTTTAATTCTCTCTTCGCTGGCAGATGAATTTCACGATCCGACGTGTGAGCCGAATTAAAAAGTAAAAAAAGGAAGCCGGTCGGTGTGCGAGGGGATTTTTGTTGCGAAAAGTAATCCACGAGTTTGCGAAGAATCTCTCGTAACGATAATGAGATATAGAATCCTACGGATTTGCGAGGCGGTTCGTTGTCTTATCCGCAAAATTCGTCTTTCCCCTCGGGAACAATTGTGTCACGCTTATCATTTCTCAGAGACACGTACATAAGGAGAAAAAAATCGCGACGACATCCGACATGACAATAAATCGCCGCGCATCGCGCGCGCGTGATTCACGTGTCGAGGGGAGGCTTTAGGATTCGAGAGGAAGCCAGGAAGATCCGCCGCCTCCTCGTACGTGCATTCACAAGTGAATTAGCTGCATCATTGTCTGCGCGCCGAGCGGAGAAAAAAGAAATCTCGGCTGAATGTAAATATGATAAAAATCCGCGCGTCATCCGGTTGACGAGGACCGGGAGGATGTTCCTCCGCTCGGAGGAGGCGTCGCGACGTGACGACGGGACCCCTCGTGACGTGGCTCCCTCTCTCTCCTCCCTTCGTTCCTTTCTTTCTCTCTCTACCTACCTTCGCACAATCATCCTTCGATATCCATCGCGTAAACCGCTTATCGATCAATTCAATATTAAAAACCATCGCTCGTCACTTTTCGCATTCCGAGCTTACGCGTGAAAAGCACCGTGAAACAAAAAGGGACGATCGAGAGTGCATAAACAGGAACGATGAGCGATCATTGTGCTCACTCCATTCAAATATTTCGATTCTTTCTATTATTTTCGCGTTATTTTGACGTAACAGCTCCTCGAAGAAGTTACACTGAGAAAAAAGTCATTTATATTTATGAGCATAATTGCATAGTGAAATTAATTATAGCAAAAAATAATTTTTGTTTGTAACAACTGTTATTGTATAAAAAGATAATTTTATTAAATGTAAAGAGATAATTTTAGCGATAATAATCTTGTATGCTTGCCGTTATTTTCTACTATTGCTACTTTCTTGAGAGGGGCCAACAAAAAAATATGATTGACGCGGAAAATTACTATAGTTTTTATGTCAAATTCCTTCTCTTTCCACTTTCTTACGTAACTAAAAACCGCAGACGCGATATACGAACATTCACCGTTCGAATTTACTCGATCGCTTCTCTTTGTCGAGGATACCAGAACTCGACGATGTTTCTTAACGGGCGATACTTTGCATTATAGATGCACGGTGGTATGTAAGAGATTACTTTGCGTATTTGTTCGTTGCGGTTCGTTGCTCTTTCTGACGAACGACGTGGCTTACGTGATACACGGCTTCGTTACGTTGATTTAAACGAGCCGCCGGCTCGCCGTGGGCTTTAGCTAGCAACGGCTAGGGAAGCACACCGGGGACGCGTGCAGGGAAAATAATTTTCCAGCAGCGGCTGCCTCGCTTCGTCAGGATTATCCTCCAATACAACATAATTAGACCACCTGCGGCGAGAACGCGTCGCGTGCGTGCATTCGCTCGATTCCTTCTGTTGCGGTTGCTATTGCGGCTGCTGCTGCTTGGTTCTCTCATCCTCTTGTCTTCCTCCGTTCCTTTGCGACTCCTTGCACTGCACAGCGCGACGCAATGGCGACACCGCGCGCGCATTCGCTCGGCTGAATTTGTGTATGAATGAGCGCACGTATTATGAACGCGATGTTGGCAAAAGGGGGGGGGGGAGGATCCATGGTCATTAAGGCCACCTGGTGCAGAGAACCGCCAGGAATACCCCGCGCTTGCTGCATCACGCGGATTCGCGATTTTCATGGTCGAGGGAGTAAACGCGGGGTCAATCGAGATAATTATGACCGGCGGAATGCTTTTCACTGACGAGGCCTGTGGATATGAGATCGTCGGAACTGAGAAGCAATCGTTCGAGATGAATGACCCGTAAAATTAATAAGGGTTTTAGGAAAGTCGTAAGTTAATCTGTGGCTATTTGGGAAATTACAGTCGCGATGAGTCTTGTCGGGTTTAGAAATAACTCGATCACCCGATCATTTTATATTTTTCCGGAGAAATAACGACAATCAAAAATCGTTAAAAATGATGTGATGCGGGAATCATCCAATAAATCGTAAAATTAGTAAGGATTTAAAAAAAAAAAACATGAATTAATTTGTAGCTGTCAGGTAAACGTCGAGCAATCGAAATGAGAATCTTATTGATCTAAAGATAATCCGATCGTTCGATTTTTTCATTTAATGTGATATCGTCGTACTGTGTATTCCGCATTCCTTCGGAAAAATGACGTCGACGTTAATGTTACCTTCGGCGAGGGTTTGGCGACTTCAATCTTCGATAATTCAGCTTCTCGGAAAGCAATCTTTTCGGGATTCCTCGTAGCGTCCGATGTGCATCGTAATCGATATTTAACCGAGGTCCGTCGTCTCCTCTCGATCGGGATGGGTCCTCCTCGTGAAAGATTATAACACGAGAGAGAAAAAGAGAGCGAGGGAGGGAGGAAGAGAGGGGGGGGGGCCTCTGGACCAGCACAGCGCGGCGCAGCAACAACGGCGGCGGCTTCTTCGAAACAATCGCCATCTGCCACATCCCTAATTACTCCCGATAATTGATGCGGTTATTGCCCGCCGAGGGATCATTCCGGAGTCGCTCGCGCGGCAAGAAAACCGCGGAAAAAAGCAGCGCTCGATCGATCAAACGTGCAATTAGCGATATTTCCTCCGTCCAGCGTCGATCGTGTACTCTGGCCTCTTCGTCCATCGATAGCTGTCTGATTAACGCTAATTACGTCAGTTGTGACGACTCTATATACGCCCTGACGTGAACATGATCCCCCTGCTGAGATGAATGTTTCGCACCCCGACATCTGATCTTGCGAAAAATTCTTGCGTATTATTTTTCAATAATTATAAAAAGCACATATAAATTTCATATATGCATTACACGAATCATCCAATTTATTCAGATCATTATTTTTCGAAGCGTACAATCGTTCGGGTTTTGTAATACTGATTCTTCCAGATACCATCCGTATATTTTTCATATTTTACTATTTACTTATTTATCTTCTGATATATATTATATTTTAAATATAATATTACAATATACAATATTATTATTGATCATCATATGATATTGTCACCATATATCAGTGATATTACATATTGATATTTAACATTATAACATAGTACTGTGCTATATTATAAAACAATCTTACATCACTAGTTCCCGCAGCTTACAATAACGTTCACCTTCTTTCAGGCTTCACCGGTACGCAATGCGAGATCGACATAGACGAGTGTGCGGCGAGGCCGTGCTTGAACGGCGGCGCTTGCACCGATCTCATCAACTCGTTCAAGTGTACCTGCGCGGACGGCTTCGCCGGCACCCACTGCCAGATCAACATCGACGACTGCGCCTCGTCGCCGTGCAAGAACGCCGGCATCTGCCAAGACGGCATCGCGAGGTACACATGCGACTGCCCGCCTGGTTTCACCGGCGCTTCCTGCGAGACCAACATCAACGACTGCCAATCGAACCCGTGCCATAGCGGAATTTGCATCGACGGCGAGAACAACTTCACCTGCAGCTGCTACGCCGGCTTCACCGGCTCACTCTGCCAGACGCAGATCGACGAGTGCACGAGCAACCCTTGCCAATTCGGCGGTGTGTGCGAGGATCGCATTAACGGCTACCAATGCATCTGCCGACCTGGCACGTCCGGCATCAATTGCGAGGTCAACGTGAATGAGTGTTACAGCAACCCCTGCCGAAACGCCGCCAAATGCATCGACGGTATCAACGGGTAAGCTTGAGGAACTCGGTGCACGTGAAGTTGTTGATGGTCGAGTACGGTGATCGCCGAAGCCATCTTCAACGTCTTTGCTACATAGAAAAAAAAATGTTAGATTCAAGTGATGACACTTCGGTACTCTTCAACAAATTTTTACTTGATCCAAGTAAAATTTACTTAATCCAAATCAAAATTTGTTAAGGAGTGCCGCAGTAATTATTTACTTGAATCCAGCACTTTTTTCTGTGTACCCTTGAGGAATCGCGTAGCAGATTGGTCACTCGACCGTTACGATCGTTTCTATTTGCGTTCCTCCTAACCCATTCAGGGCGTAATTATTTCCCAAATATTTTTCACTGAGGAATCAGTCTGTGGATTCCCAAAGAAAATCTCAGTAACGGTTTTGATTGAAGACTTAACTGGACATTATTAGATGTATCAAACTTGACGTTATATCTGAAATGATTTTATTCAATAAAAAAATCAGGGTGTCCCAGAAGCAGGACCCCGACCGACCGGTAATGGGTTAAGGAAAGAATCGCTTAACTGAAATGCGCAATTTCTGAAGAGGCGATCACAGCGATGTATGCGGAAGACAGTTACTTCGACCCACCCAGAATTCGGCAAAATTACCATCAATACAAAATGAAGTACAAAATTAACAACAGGCTGCACGGCCGAGTGCGTCCTACTATACGCGGTCGATGAGCGCGCGAATGTAAACGCGAACGTAAACAGTGGTGGATTCGCAGCTCTCTCTCGTTGATGAATCCATCACGACGGAGCGTCGGGGCGCGACCGGAGAACACGGATGGACGAAAAAGCGACGCGGTAGAGTAGCGTGGTCACCATCGCATAGACACACTCACACGTACACAATCTGGCAAAATCCTTGACTCGCGCGCCAACGTTCCACCAAACGCACCCTTCCGTTCTCAGTGGATACGATGTCTCGTCTTCCAGGTACGCTTGCGAGTGCGAGCCCGGCTTCACCGGCCAGCACTGCGAGACCGACATTAACGAGTGCGCCAGCAATCCGTGCGCGAACGGTGGCCACTGCATCGACGTGATAAACGGCTTTAGGTGCGAATGCCCGCGCGGCTACTACGACGCCAGGTGCCTGAGCGACGTGGACGAGTGCGCGAGTAATCCTTGCATGCACGGTGGCACTTGCGAGGACGGCGTGAACCAGTTCATCTGCCATTGCCTGCCGGGCTATGGCGGCAAGCGATGCGAGGCAGACATCGACGAGTGCGGCTCGAATCCTTGCCAACACGGCGGCACGTGCAACGATCACCTGAACGGCTACAGCTGCAAGTGCCTGCCCGGTTACGCCGGCACCAACTGTGAGACCAACATCGACGACTGCGCGAACAACCCTTGCCAGAACGGTGGCTCGTGCATCGACCTCGTCAACGACTACAAATGCGTCTGCGAATTGCCTCACACCGGCAGGAATTGCGAGGAGAAGCTGGACCCCTGCTCGCCGAACAAGTACGGTCTCCTCTTCCTTCCGCGTTTCGTTCCTCCGGGAGCGAAGGGTGTTCTATTACGCTGTTGAATCTCAAAGTACTACACCTCGAAGAAGTTCAGACCAATCTTTTGGGTACTGCCCTCGAGACGTTCTAATTCGTTGTGGACAACTGGTGTTTTCAAATGCTTGCATTCGCATATTCGACGACACAGCTGGTTGACAGCAGCTTTACAATTATAGATTTTATCAGTGATTTTTGCCGATCCTTTGGTAGATGTGCCAAGACGCGTTTTTCCTATTATTATGTGGTTGAGGCCTGGCTAATCGTTTTGAAATTGATATCACGCTATACCCTGCTGGAAAGCAGAATTTTTGTTTATTTTTTTTAACTCGAACGGTACATGCACCAGAATAAACTCCATCCCTATCAACCTCGGGACACATATCAAATGATCGCCAAGAATCGCCTTGTGTTGTCTCAAATTGTAAACACTGATTTGTTTCTGTTCTGCCTAATATTGTCATTCGCGAATGAAACTTTCAACAACTTTCCGCCTTGCATAGGGAATAATAATGAACTCTTGCGACCAAAATACTCAAACTACACCTTGAAGAAATTTCGATCAATTATAGCAGCATATATTGCGCTCTAGTTCGTTGTGGATAACAGGCGTTTGCAGAGACTGGCATTTGGTGGACCTCGACACAATTTTGCGCAGCAGCAGCTTTACAATTTTCAAATTTAGAATATTAATTTTATCTGTTCCGCCTAATATCGTTAATGTAGAGCTGTACGATTGCGCTGTTGGATTCTTGGTCTCGGCGATCAACGTGCTGAAATAACACCGTGAAAGAATTCAGATCAATCTTTTGAATATTATAAGGATGCATATGCGTGTTCTTGTTCACTGTGAACATTTCCAAGGGTTTGCATGTTTGGGTCTCGACACATCTCAGCAACAGTTTTATCTGCATACTTGATTGTCTCAAATACTCATTTGTTTCTGATCTACCTAATATTGCCAGTCACGGACGAAATGTTCAACAATCTCACCTGGACACACCGAACACTTTTTTGTTGCGTTGCTCCGCACTTAATACGATAAAACTGACTGTGGAAATTGATATCTGGGAAAGCTGCACTTTGAGATTTCGGGCCATCAATCTCCCACCGTGACTTCGCGGAACAGCGTCGCGCGTTCAGCCGCGTTCACGAGGGGCGCTCTCGAGCAGCTCCATTTAATTTTTCGCGACCGCAGTGCGCTGGTCTGAATAGTCGAACGACTCGGTAACGCCAGCGTGTCATTTCAGATGCCTCCACGGTGCGAAGTGTTCGCCGTCGTCGAACTTCCTCGACTTCGCGTGCACGTGCACGGTCGGTTACACGGGCAGACTGTGCGACGAGGACGTGGACGAGTGCGTGATGACGTCGCCGTGCAGAAACGGTGCCACTTGCCGGAACACCAACGGCTCTTACCACTGCGTGTGCGCGAAGGGCTACGAGGGCCGTGATTGCATCATCAATACCGATGACTGTGCATCATGTGAGTACCGCCTGCGGTTCATCGTCTTCTTTTTCTATTCTCTTCTTTCGCTACATATGCTCGAGAGATAAATATGTTTCATCGCGCAACAAGGACGATAGAGAGGATGAAATTAAACGCGTTTAAACGTCGCCTTTTCACACCCGTGTGTCCGCAGTTCCCTGTCAGAACGGCGGTACTTGCCTGGACGGCATCGGCGATTACACCTGCCTGTGCGTGGACGGTTTCAACGGGAAGCACTGCGAGATCGACGTGGACGAGTGCCTGTCGCAGCCCTGCCAAAACGGGGCGATCTGCAAGGAATACGTCAACTCCTACACCTGCCAGTGTCAGCTCGGCTTCTCCGGCATCAACTGTCAGACCAACGACGAGGACTGCACCGACAGTAGCTGCATGAACGGCGGCAAGTGCATCGACGGCATCAACAACTACACCTGCGTCTGCAAGCCCGGTTACACCGGCTCCAACTGTCAGTACCGTATCAACGAGTGCGACAGCTCGCCCTGTCTCAACGGCGCTACCTGCCATGATCACGTGCAGTACTACTCGTGCCATTGCCCCTACGGCTACACCGGCACGCGGTGCGACAAGTACGTGGACTGGTGCGCCGACAATCCGTGCGAGAACCAGGCCACATGCGTGCAGCACAAGAACAAGTACCAGTGCAACTGCTCGCCCGGCTGGACCGGCAAGGTGTGCGACGTGGAGATGGTCTCGTGCAAGGACGCCGCTATACGGAAAGGCGTGCCGGAGAAGAACCTCTGCAACAACGGCACCTGCGAGGACATCGGCAATAGCCACCGTTGCCACTGCATCGAGGGCTACACCGGCTCCTACTGCCAGGAGGAGATCGACGAGTGCGACTCGGCGCCGTGCCAGAACGGCGCGACCTGCCGGGACCTCGTCGGCTCGTACCAGTGCCAGTGCACGAAGGGCTTCCAAGGGCAGAACTGCGAGCTCAACGTCGACGACTGCACGCCGAATCCGTGCCAGAACGGCGGCACTTGCCACGACCTGATCAACAACTTCAGTTGCTCCTGCCCGCCGGGCACTCTCGGCTTCATATGCGAGGTGAACGTGGACGACTGCGTGATCGGTGCCTGCCACAACAACGGCACCTGCACCGACAAAGTCGGCGGCTTCGAGTGCAACTGCCCGCCCGGCTTCGTCGGGCCCCGGTGCGAGGGCGACATCAACGAGTGCCTCTCGAATCCGTGCGCGTTGACCGGCACCCAGGACTGCGTGCAGTTGGTCAACAACTATCACTGCAACTGCAAGCCCGGCTACATGGGTCGCCACTGCGAGGTGAAGGTCAACTTCTGCGACAGCTCGCCGTGCCAGAACGGCGGCATCTGCGTCGCCAAGCAGGCGGGCCACACGTGCGTCTGCCCGCCCGACTACCACGGCGGCAACTGCGAATTCGCCGGTTCGTATTGCGACTCCGAGCCGTGCGCCCACGGCGGCACCTGTCGCATCACCGAGACCAGCATGGGTTATATGTGCTATTGCCCGCCCGGCACTACCGGCGCCCATTGCGAGATGGACGCGGTGGACGAGTGCGCGAGCAGCCCGTGCCAGCAGCCCGAGGCCATGTGCGAGAACATGATTGGCGACTACGCCTGTTACTGCCCGGCCAAATGGACCGGCAAGAACTGCGACATCTACGACCCGAACTACCGGGGCGGGGTGGCCGGTAGGCCGAACGCCAACGTGCCCAAGGTCACCAACAACGCGTACGATCTCGACCTGGAACAGGAGCGCAAGAAGTGCGTCGAGAACCGTTGCGAGGAGAAATCTGCGAATAACCATTGTGACGAAGAGTGCAACAAGTACGCCTGCAACTTCGACGGCAACGACTGCTCCTTGGGCATCAATCCGTGGCGCAACTGCACCGCGCCCATCAACTGCTGGGACGTCTTCATGAACGATATGTGCGACGAGGTCTGCAACAACGCCCAGTGTCTCTATGACGGCAGAGACTGCGAGAGGAAACTCGCGCCTTGCAAGTAAGTGCTTCGCCGAAATCCATTACGTAGATATACGGATGTATTGAGCATACACATTAACACATTGCCCCGCGGGTTTCTGAGTCTGTCGCTTGAGTAGCTGCGACGGTAAAAAGAAGCGAGAGTAACTTTATGTGTGCTTGGTACCTTTACATCTTGGACAATGTTTCGAGAAATACCACACTTGCCTTAAATATTAAAGCTTTTGTTTTCTGTTTACGTTATATATATGTAATAATCCACCATGAAATGAGAAAATGTTTTTTCTTTTAATTACAAATTAAAAATTTCAATTTTGTTTATATTTTTAATTACCGTTAAATTGTATGTGACGAATATGCAAGTAAAATATACTATTTTACGAAAATATATAATGTTTTAAATATTTTTTTTGGCTATTCAGTGATCAGAAAGAAGCGAATAAGGCCGGCGCTCAGGCTTTTTAAATGTCTCTTAGGTCGCCGGCTGTCAATGTGTTAAGATCACGGTGATACTACCGTGTCTCATTAGCTTATGCGTGAAATATAATTAGTTGCATCTACTACAATATTGATTGATTGACGTTTTCAAAATAGAGTCGACGAAATCAGATAAAAGATACGTGTGACTCGAATCATATTTATTTGTTCATTTTTAACGTTTCTAATTCAATTGAGCTTTCGTACTATCAACGAAAATTAATGCGGCATTCACGGTGTCAAAAAGTTTACAAGTATATAAGATGCAAATAACTTAAAGCTCTTTCTATACTTTGAAGGAACTTTTAAATCTGTATTAATAATTGTTACTTGAAACTCGTCTCTCATGTGAGGTTTTCAACCTTAAATTCAGAATTCAGATGTGAGTTTTTCAGTTGAACTGCAGATACAACGTTTGATCAATTAACCAAACTGAAAACGAGGTCTAATCCTGAATTAAAGTCTCTCACAAGTAAACAAGTTTCAGGTTACAACTATTGACAGACCTTGACTATTACGTTCTTAGTTGTTATTCTTTGATTTTTTATTATAGTTTCTATACATTGATTACTATTAATAGATGGCAATAGGGATAATATGTATTGGATCCTATTTAAACTCATTTACTTCCGCAGCCCAATCTACGACGCGTACTGCAGGAAGCACTACGCCAACGGCCACTGCGACTACGGCTGCAACAACGAAGAGTGCAACTGGGACGGGCTGGACTGTGACGGGGAACCGCCATCCTTGGCGGAGGGCGTGATATCGGTGGTCGTTCGGATGGACATGACCACCTTCCGCTCCAATGTCGTGGCCTTCCTGAGGGACATCGGACACGAATTACGAACGACGTTGCGCATCAAGCAGGACGAGCTCGGCAACGAGATGATATACCCGTGGAGGCGGGACAGAGACCTCGGCCATCACACCAACATCTTCTTCGGGCAACCGGCGACGATCTACACCAACTTGAACGGCGTGGTCGCCTACCTGGAGATCGACAACAGGAAGTGCACGGTGACGCAGGGCGCCGTGTGCTTCCCCTCGGCGAACGAAGCGGCCGAGTATCTGGCCGCTACGGCGTCGAAGCACTCCTTGTCGCGGAACTTCCCCATCGAGCAGGTGCGAGGCGTCATAGGAGGGCCAACCCCGGAATACCCCGAGAACCCCACCAACTACAAGTTCGTGTTCATCGGTGTGGTAATCGTGCTGCTGAGCGGTCTGCTCGTGGGCGTGCTCGTCACCGCGCAGCGGAAACGCGCCGTGGGGGTGACATGGTTCCCCGAGGGCTTCCTGAGGACCAGCAGCGGCAGCGGCCAACGTCGCCGCTCACGTCGGCGCGGCCCGGACGGCCAGGAGATGCGGAATCTCAACAAGCAACCGTCGATCAACTGCATGGACATAGACGTGGGTAACGGCCGGGTGCAGCACTGGTCGGACGACGAGTCCGACTTGCCGGCGAAACGACCGCGCACCGCCATCAGCGACCACACCGCCATCACGGACTACGAGGAGAGCGAGCCGCGCAGATGGACGCAGCAACACCTGGACGCCGCCGAGATACCGCGGCCGGACGCCGGGGTGCTCACTCCTCCGGACCAAGACGTGGACGCGCGCGGTCCGTGCGGCATGACGCCGCTGATGGTGGCGGCTGTGCGCGGCGGTGGGCTCGACACCGGCGAGGAGGAAGACGAGAGCGACGGTACGGCCGCGATGATCGCCGACCTGGTGGCTCAGGGTGCCGATCTGAACGCCACCACGGACAAGAGCGGCGAGACGTCGCTGCACTTGGCCGCTCGCTTCGCCCGGGCCGACGCCGCCAAGAGATTGCTGGATGCAGGCGCGGACGCTAACTCGCAGGACAACACCGGCAGGACGCCGCTGCACTCCGCCGTCGCGGCCGACGCGATGGGCGTCTTCCAGATCTTGTTGCGCAACCGAGCGACGAACCTGAACGCGCGCATGCACGACGGCACCACGCCGCTGATACTGGCCGCGCGCTTGGCCACCGAGGGCATGGTGGAGGATCTCATCAACGCCGACGCCGACATCAACGCCGCCGACAACAGCGGCAAGACCGCGCTGCATTGGGCCGCGGCGGTCAACAACGTCGACGCCGTGAATATCCTGCTGGTGCACGGCGCGAACCGAGACGCTCAGGACGACAAGGACGAGACCCCGCTCTTCCTCGCGGCGCGCGAGGGCAGCTTCGAAGCGTGCAAAGCGCTCCTCGACACGTTCGCTAATCGGGAGATCACCGATCACATGGATCGGTTACCGCGCGACGTCGCCAGCGAGAGACTCCATCACGACATCGTCAGACTGCTCGACGAGCACGTGCCGAGGTCGCCGCAGATGGTCACCGTCATCCCGAACGGTCCTCTCATGGGTAAGCCTTCTCTTCCGCAGTCTCGCCCCGTCTCGGAAGCGCATCTTGAAATGCAACCACGTGTCCATAAGCTCACGCTTCTGATCGATATTATTCTATCAAGCGAAGTAATAAATCATGAATAACGCAAAGTTTCTTCTTGTTCTAACGATTGATGAACGATTGTAAACTCATTTGATAATTGAAAGCACAACACACCCGCGTTATCAATATCCTCCGTTTGAAGAGAATCGATCGATCAACTTTTCCCCCTTTTGCCCCGCAGGATCTCCAAATCACCCTCAGATGATCACGCACCCGACGGTGATCGGCTCCGCGCCGAAGCAGGCCAAGTCGAAGAAGCGGCCGAAAGCAGGCGGCACGGGAAACCCGAACAGCCCGGAGTCGGAGGGCGGCGCGGTGGTGATGGTGAGGCGAAAGCCCTCGGTGAAGAAGCCGACGGCGGCGAAGCGCGGCGGCGCCCAGCCCCCAAACCAAGAGATCCCCCATCAGGAGGCGGAGGGCGCCGAGGGTAACCTGCCGAGCCCGTACGACAGCGCGAGCCTGTACAGCAACGCGTTGCCCCTGGTGGCTCACACGGCGACGGCGAAGCAGCCGCCTGCTTACGAGGACTGCATAAAGGGCCAATCGATGCCGGGGCTGCAGCAACTCGGGCTGGACACCTTCGCGACCAACTACGGGCTGCCGTTTCACGACCAGCTCTTAGCGCCTCACCAGCGGCAGACGCAGGGCATCGTGAACACCCTGTCGCCGCCGTACAGCAACCAGTCGCCGCCGCACTCGGTGCAGTCGAACATGACGCTGTCGCCGCAGGCGAGCTACATGGGCTCTCCGTCGCCGGCGAAGAGCCGGCCGTCGCTGCCCACCTCGCCGACCCACATCGCCGCGATGCGGCAGGCGACGCATCAGAAGCACGGCGGCATGCCGCCGGTGGGCTTCGACTTCGACAACCTGCCGTATTCGTCGAGTCAGCAGCAGCAGCAGCAGCAGCAGCAGCAACAGCAGCAGCAACAACAGCAGCAGCAGCAGCAGCAGCTACAGCAGACGCAGCAGCAGATCCAGCAGCAGCAACAGCAGCAGCAACAGCAGCAGCAACAGCAGAGCACGCAGCAACAGCAGCAGCAGACGCAGCAATACTACCAGTACTTGACGCCGCCGTCCCACCATTCCGGGCCGGACGTGACGCCGCAGCATCTCATGCAAGCGCCCGAGAGCTTCCCGACGCCGTCGCCGGACAGCCCGGGTCACTGGTCCTCGAGCTCGCCGCACTCGAACAGCGACTGGTCCGAGTGCATGGCCTCGCCGAACGCGTACGGCGCCGGCGGCGGCGCTCACCAAAGCAACAAGGGCTCGGAGGCGATTTACATATGAGCTTGGCGACGTTCTTCTTCTCCCCCTGCTCCTCCCCTTCGCACGGCTGAATGGTGAGAACCGTGCGGCGAAGGAGGCGAGAGAGTGAGGGGAAGATATGGTGGCAGCAGCAGGGCACAAGAGGGGGAAAAGAGAGAAACGTAACGCGAACACTGTGATCAGCTCGTCGAGAGAGTTCGAGGGCGATTCTCCGCCGCCGTCGCCGCCGCCGTTCCTGCCCGGCGGGTGAAGACGTCGAGGACGCGAGGCGAACCACCAGAAGGGGCTCTTCCCTTGAATCGGCGGCGAAGAGGTACCTTGTTTGTTTGTCAGCGGAGCTAACAACACCACGGCGGCGCGACGATGCACGCGCCACGATTATTATATATATTTATATGCGTATAAATGTAGATGAACGAATATATACATATATGTGTACAAGGGGGAGAGAGAGACCAGGACGCTGTGTACAAGAAGCTAGCTCCACGTGCTCGGACCGTGCGTAGAACCGATTGTGCCTCTCTAACGAACGCGGAAGCGACTTTCGCGGGAGGAGAATCGCGGGCGGGGGAATGGCAGCGCGTCGCGCGATTCCCTCGGCGAAGAAAGATGGGAAGAGGGAAAGGAACACAAAAATAGCCGATATATTTTTGATATCGATCGCGATCTTTACTCTTTTTTACCGTTGTCGCTATGTACGTCACGCAGCTCAATGAATGAAAACGGTGCCTTCAACTTGCCAGTGTGAAGAGACCTCCCCGGTGGACAATAATTAATTAAGGAACGAGACCTTGCTATTCTAATGATAATTTTGTACATATCGCGTATAGATAGATTTACGGGACGAGAGAAGGAGAGAAGAGAAAGGAGAGGTAGAAAGAGTTAGAGAGAGAGGGGGGGAGGGAGAGAGAGAGAGAGAGAGAGAGAGAGAGAGGAATCGCCGCTGTGTCTTTGTTCCGCGCAGGCCAATTAGCAGAATATACGCGATGTCCCGTTTAACGTCTGTCGCAAGAAGAACCGCGTACGGACTCCTTCGTTGCATCGATCGTGTCCTTTGGCTGATCTAGGCTCGTATTATGGATTCGTTTGGAATTGATTCCGAACAGTTCCGCAATAAATGCCCTCTATTCGCTGAAGAAGAGACAAGACCGAAAGATACGACGGTACAACGACATCGACTGCGGTTTCGGCAATAACCGCGCGAGCTCGCCGACGAGGTGCGCGACCATGGACTGAAGAAATAGACTGCACGTTCCTATGAGACATCGTGAAAGCAATATTAAAGAAACACAGAAAGAAATAGGTTCGCTTCATTCACTGGACGAGTATTCTCAAAGAAGCGACATGGGGGAAATAGAATAAAGAAACAGACACATTTCTTTCTTCTCACCACTGGTGTGATCGACTTAGAAGTAACATCCAGCCTTTCCTTGTTTTTTTCTAAAGAGGTCTATGCATGTAAACTTGGATAATGAATACACGCGAAAAAATTAATCATCATCCGTGCGGAAAAACGACACCATGATATGACGTAATTTCTTGCTAGTGTGCATTACTCGAGCATGCATATTTCGGTAAACCTTTATTAATGCTTCTTCACTACGAGAGCGCTCAGTCTATTTCTTCAAATCCGTGTGTGTGCGCGCGCGCGCATATGTGTGTGTGTGTGACACCGTGCAGACGCGCATACGCGGGGAACGAGACTAAATCGTGCCTTCGAGTTCCGTAGGAGAGCGTACGAAAGAGGAAAAGGACACTACGCGCGGCTCTCGCGCGGGTATAAACTCCACGATATTAGATTATCATCGCGTCGACGGGAGCGCGGCGTCTCTCCAGACGGACGGATGATCAAGTGCTGGGGTTTAGCGCGACGTGTAATTTAATGTAATATGTAACATGTAACGTGTAATGTAATGTAGTAACGTACGTAAGGCGAAGAGACGCGACGAGTGGGCGAGATATATTAATCTGTACGGTCGACGGGAGCATCAGAGAACTCGTCCTCACGGCCCACGATGCATCGTTCCATACATAGACATTCCATTGCGTATGGCGCCAACACTCTGCAACAACCCTCACCCCTCAATCGCCGCCTCGACTCGCGGTATTTAGCCCCCCCCCCCCCTCCATCCGGGGAATCACCCGCTAATTATCNCCATCCGAGGAATCACCCGCTAATTATCGAGCTAGCACGTAATCGTTGTTAACGTTGGTTTAATCTCTAGGTGTGTGTATCGAACGCACGTAATTAAATTAAATTAAGTACTCGACGCGGGACGATAGGACGGTTCTCTGGCCTCTTCTCTGCCAAAGCCAAAACAGCGTTTTAGATAATCGCGTGATACGTGCGCGCGGAAAACGTAATAACGGCGTATTACCGTGGGGATCGTTGTGAGAGAGACAGAGAGAGAGAGAGAGAGAGTGAAGAGAAACAGTTATCGCGTTGCGAGACGTGAGGGGAAGTTCGTACGCGCGTTTGCAATATTTGTCGCCGGTGATAGCCAGTGTTTCTTTGTTTATTGTCGTGCACGGGGACATTACCGGTGAGAGATCGGGGTACGATTATCGAGTTCTCTCGTAGAATCGTCGTCGGAGCTCCGTTTGATCTTCTATCGTTCGCGTGGGAGAAAATGTAAATGTAAATACTCCTGTGACGTTCTCTGCTCCGCTCATCTCTCGCGTGCCGTGCTTCGCGCGGCGCCTCTAATATAATTACGATTAGTAACGATAATTGTCTCTTCTCTCGCGAATTTTTGTACAAACTGTTTTTACATATTTTTTTATATCGCGTAAGTTAGCTCTATTGCTACGTACTTTTTTCCCCTTCTTTTGTAAGACGAGCCGCATTACGATTAATCATGTCCCTCCCTCATCATATTATCATGTAAACGTGTATTATGTGTATTTCGTGCGACTCGCCGTTGCGTCGGAGGCTCGTCGCGTCGCGATTCTCCGAGCGACTCCGGATCGTGCACCCAAGCGGTGTGACGGAGCTTCTTTTCTTCCGGTCGTGGAGCGTATTATGGGTCCAACGCAATTTCCGTGTCTGCTTTGCGAGCGTGTATTCTCGGCAGAGGATCATCTCCTCGTCTTGTTTTTCTTTTCTTATTCTTTTTTTTTTTTACACATGTACCACACCTTGTAACGAATTACGTATCTCTAGAACTGCCAACGCGTACATATCGTCGAAATCACGTGAGTTCTGCGAAACGATGACAATGAGAGTAAAGAGATGTAAACAGAATTTAAACAGAATATAAAAGAGAGAGATTAAGAATATTTTTTAAGAGAAAACTTTTTATATACAAATATATATATATATACATACATATACATATATATATATATTTAAATAATCTCTCGTAATACACACACATACACACACACACACACACACACACACGCAATGCGTCACAGGTGTAATGATCGCCGATTGCGCACAATGCAACTAAAAGTACAATTCTTAAAGGTAAACAGAATTCAAGAAGTATCGATTCAAGATCTGTAATTCGTAACCGAGTAAGCAATATGTAGATATTAATACGTTGACTGATTGGGTGTGTGCGAAAGCAACTTTTTACCGTCTGTCCGAAAGTTTAACGAAGCAAAACTGCTCTCTGACGCACTATCATTTCTGTGTTAAAGAAAAAAAAAAGTAACGATAGTTCTAAGTATTGCGCTATAATAATTTACAATTATTTACGATAAGGGTTAGACAAGAGACATACAAATACATGTACACATGCATACAAACACATACATACACCGATTATTGCGATAGATCTTGTTATTCCTTGTAACTTGTAAAAAGTACTGAATTTTATTAGGATTAACTATTCCCGTAAGCGAACTCTAAGGATTTGTTCGGTCCTATTATATCCTACCCCCGCTATCCACTCCCATATTTTTATAAATAAGTTATGTCTTTTAAACAGATGTAATAATAAAGATAATCTAACATCCATAATAATATAATTTTCCTTAGTGTTTCCTGCGGCCATATTTCTAAATCTTACCCTTTGCTTTCCCATACTGAAAATAATGACGCGGTACTATAACTCGTTTTCGAATCGAATTATTAATAAAATAATTATCCACGCAACATGTTAAAACGCATTAATCGAAGATGATGAATCTATGAGAGATTGTATCATATTAAAAAAATGGAAGATCTACTCTTGTTGAGATATTCACGGAGAAAAACGTTGGCACAATAAATTTTATACTGTCGTAGTAAAATCTGTCTGTTGCTACATGGACAGCAAAACGATTTATTAGGAATATTATGAGGTGTACGAATGAATAAGCCAAATTTTTCAGCTAAATTCGAGATTTATTTTAAAAGAAAGTAAAACAAATTTTTCAATCAAAGTATTCGCCGTTGCTTTTTATAACTTTAAGCCACCTTTCAGGCGGCTGATGAATTCCATCTCCGAAAAATGCTGTGTCTTTGAACACGATAAAGTTGTCAAGTCATTTTCGGATCTCATCCACTGACTGGAAGTGAGTATCGAACAAGGCGTGTTGCAACGACCGGAACAAGTGATAATCGGATGGAGCAACGTCTGATGAATACGCCGGGTGCTACAAGACGTCCCAGCCAAGGTTCATTATGGTGTATTTGTCTTGAAAGCAATGTGTGGCCTAGCGTTGTTACGACCTAATAAAACTTTTCAATACGAACAATGGCGACTCGTAGCTGAAAACTTTGGAACTACTTAAGTAACAGAGCATTTATCCGAGACTCGAACCACTTTTAGGCCAACTTCAAACCACATTTAGCTCGACTGTTACATTGCACTTGATCGTGCTAGATGACGCCAATAGTTCGTTAGCTATATTTTGACGAGTGATCATTTAGTTCAGATACAAACCTCGTTTAGTCTAAGCGATAAATGTGCAGCATTTAACGATAAGTAACGCGAAGTATTCCGTCATTTTAACAATGCGCAAAATATGTTAAATAGATATTATTTTTATAATGACTATCTGTATTTTATCAATAAAAATAATATACAACATACATTTATGATTATTCGTCAGTCTATACGTATTTCATAAAGATAATATTAATTCTAAAGCTGAAAATAACAATTTATAATTATGAATCTGTAAGCAATTATATACTCCCAATTAAAGATTATAAACAATCCATTACTATAAATATATATGAGCTTCATCATATTATATATAGTATTATATTTTCTATTTTTATTTTACAATATGATATATTTCATTATGTTAGAATAAAAATGAGTTTAAATGTTAGCTAATTTTTTTTTATTCATGCAACTTCTTTCCTAATTATACTTTCCTGATATTTGAATGTCGAAAAATCGAAAATTTTTGTTTTTTGTCGGAAATTCGTACCACCTCTTCATTAATTCCTATCCTCCTAATATCCGAAAACAAAACCTCTATATAACGTTTTATGAGAAATAACTGTAAGGTCCTTTTTAAGAAATCTTGAAAAAATCTTGATAATGTCTTCAAGATGCCTTAAAAAAGAAATATGCTGATACCCACGACTTCGCTCGAAGCGAACTTTTGTGGCATACTAGACTGCTGAAAGACTAACTAGGTTAGATTAAATGATATTTTTAGATGATCGTATTGTCTAATCTGATAGCCGCGAAAGCTTATTAAGTAAAGTCGCGGCTATCGGCTGCGATAGGATCCTTAATCTTCAGTGGTGAATGCCACTTGCGTAAACTCGCATGGTAAATCGGCTGAAAGAGTAAATTCACGCGATTCCTGATGTTTCTAAAGATCCCGCATTTTCTTCTATAATTTCAAACTTAAGCAATCGTTATTTTTTGGAATACTGCAACATATTATTGCGAAAAGTTGCGCATAAATATCTCCTTTCAGCCGACTTGTTAGGTGCAGGACGCAACAGATAGAGCCACGAGTCCTTCGAAGAAATGCGAGTACAAACGTGCCAAAAACTTGTCGGTTGAATCGGTTGAAGAAATTGATATGAAATTGCATTCCGTATTATTAATTTTACGGTACCTCGCGGTCTTCTTCTTCTTCTTCTTCTTGAAAATGGCAAACGGACACCCGAGCAATTGTTATACACCAATAACTAGTGCTGGACGGGTTGGTTTGTAGACAAGACGGGCCTGAATTCTTCTTTTGGGGTGGAAACTTGGTTTCATTACTGCTAATTGCAGAGGTTATTCAGCCCATACGCCACGACAAGGCGATACTCTGTGCGCAGGTACCTTGCGGATCGATTGCTCATCGGTAATTATCAATCGCGTCGCAATCGATCCACCTTGCCGAATGAGATAGTCCGCGCGTTCTAATATTCAGAAAAACATTGGTTGCGTTCAGCAGAGAAAGCAGCAACTGTTGTAAAATTCGCAAATCCGACTGGTGTATGCTCTTAATCTTGATGGAATCTAAGAACATATACCAAACAGATTACGAATTTTATAACAATTGCTGCTTTCTCTGCTGAACGCAGCCGTTTAGCCAAAGTGCCAAACTGAGTTTCAAAACTGAGTTTTAACATTTTTATTTTCAATGTAGTTCGTAAAACAAATAACAATGCGATGAGAGAATTCGTTTTCGGAAAACAAGTTCGCTCATTGAATCGTCGGTTGCGCTCCGAACAGCGTCGGAAAAAAAAGTATTGATACCATTTTGAAGCTCAGTGTACATAAGCCATTCACAGATAGGAGAGAATTGCGATACCGGTCAAGGAAAGATGGAAGGCGAGAAAGGAAAAAAGAAGCGGGGTCTCTCGCGGTGACCGCGATTTTCGGCGGCCAGCGCGCCGGGATATCTCTCTTCGAATCACGTACGAGATAATCGCGTTAGTCGTAATTCCCGGATGCGTATCGTCGCATAGACAGCGGCGACGATATTGCCGTGTAAACAGGCGGCGAGCGATCATCACCAATCGGCCAATCAATCTAATCGAGATGAGCCCCCGATGACGGCGGTGACCCTCGAAAAATCAATAATACGCACCCTCCGACGTGCCGAGAGCGCGTGCCAACGCGGGTGCACGCACGCACGGCGCTCCTCCGTCCGAGAGGAGGCCCACTCCCGTGACACGCGATTCGTCTCTCTCTTCATGTTCTCGCGAACGAGAGAGTGCGCGCGTGACGAAACCACGTTTCGTCGG